TTAAATAAATATTTTTTAATAAATATAATATTATAATTTAAAATTATAAAATTATAAAATATAAAATTATAAGATATAAAATTATAAGATATATATATTTTTTAATTTTATATAAATATTTTTTACTATAAATATAATATTATAATATATATATATATATATATATAATTTTATATAAATTTATTTAAATAATAATATGAAATATAAATTATATTATTATATAATATATAATATATTTATAATTTTTTTTAATTTAAAAATTTTTTGTATTTATAAATAATTATCTATAACACAATAATATTATATTTTATAAAATATTACTTTATTATATTATATATATATTTTTTTTATAAATGTATATATTATATATAAATATATAAATATATAAATTTAGAAAAATAGAAATAATATAAATAAAATAATAAAAATAATATAAATAATATAAATAAATAAAAAATAAAACAAATACTAAATTTAATAAATTTATATTTCATTATTTCAATATAATATTTAAATAATTATACTCTATTATATATTATTTTATATTTTATTATTCAAATATAAATTAAAAAAAAATTCTTTATTTTTGTCGATATTCGGTATTAAAAAAGAAAAAAAAATATACCGCCTGCGAATGTGTTAATATGTAATTAGTAATTAGATTGATATTGATAATAAATTCGTTTTGATAAAATATCATTGCCACAAAGCAATTATTATATAATTATTATAAAAAAAAACGTGACGGAATAATAATAACTTCATGAATTGATAGAAGACTAAAAAAAAAGAAAAAAAAAAAAAAAAACCATATTTCATAATTTGAACTTCGTCCTACGTTTCTTTTTTTAACTTTCATTTCCTTTCTTTCTCATTTGAATATTATTTTATTTTTTTTTTTTTTAATTTTATTTTATCTGCTGATAAAAACGAATATTAATTATTGTAAAATATCTATTGACATGAAATAAATAATGATATTTAAGAACATAGTTGAGAAATATGTATTCTACGATTATTCCTAGCACGTATGATTTCCATTACGTTAACTTGACCATTTTAAATGGTTTCGATCATCTTACCACATCATATTTAACATTCGAATAGTTTCTACTTGTGCAAGGGGACACGTGTCCTCCTCCTGACAGAAACATTAAATCTAACATTTAAATCATTCTTAACTTCTTTTTTTATAATTAATAAACGCGAATATCATTATATAATAAAAAAGGATCAAAAAAAAAAAAAAAAAATTTACCTTGCAACGAAAGAATAAATCAAAACTCGAAATCCCATCAAAAGTGTTACGTAAGAGTAATTTTTGAAAACGGAGAAACCCAATGTTAAAAATACGTTCATCGATTGCGAATATATTTCGAAAAAAATAAAAAAATAAAACAGAAATAAGAAAAAAAAAAAGAAAAAGAAAAAAAAACTAGTTTTAACGCGATATAGAAATGCATTTATGCATAATGACGTTTACCATGGCTATATTATACACGTGTCAATGTGAGAGATAACGACACACCGTATTATTGTAACATCGATATTACAATATTATCACAGACAAGAATCAATAAGTAACTTATATATATATATATATTAAAATACTCTTATATTATTTTATAATATAATAATATATTATATTATATTATTACTATTATTGTTATATTATTACTATATATTATATTATATTACTATTATTGCTATTATTGTTATTATATTATTACTATTATGGCTATTATATTATATTATTATTGTAACATCGATATTACAATATTATCACCGACAAGAATCAATAAGTAACTTAAATATATTAAAATACTCTTATATTATTTTATAATATAATAGCATATTAAATTATATTATTACTATATACTAAATATAATTTTAATATATTTAATATAATATAATATAATATAATATAATATAATATAATATAATATAATA